AAGCTCAAAAAAGTGCGATTATATAAAGAAGTAGCACATTTATATGTCAAGACCTCGAAGTATTTACACTCTATTGATATGTCATAAAACCAAAAACGATTTTGAATTGAAAAGGCGTCCAAAGCAATTTCAGACTTTGAATGCAATAGAACCCATTGTAACTCTAGCATTTCTTTCTTGTTATCTGTTTTGAAATAATTCAGAAACATAATAGCCCAAAACAACATTTATTAAATTAGTTTCAAACTGATCCTTGACTAGCCCTTGCTTCACGTGCTACGTAAATTATAAGGACAAAAAGGTCTTATCAAACCGGTTTCCCTATGCACTCACCAATGCTCAAGAATTAGCAGGAAAGCACCAGTAATTGCAGAACCGATCACGCAAAAAAAGAGAAAAGTAATTTCAAAGTGACCATTGCCATTGCCTCTCTTAATTTTTCTTGTGATGCATCAGGAGGAGAATAAGAATAATGTTTAATGAAATCAGGTAATGCAATGATTGTTTGGGATTTTACTTTTCTCTTTCATATTAATGGCCCTGCTGATTTTCCAGACTGCTTTTTGTAAACTTTGAGCGGTATTGTTGAGTGTAGCACCAAGAATATTGGTTCAACATATATTGTCGTTTTTTTTTAATTTTTGTGATGTTCTAGAGGAAACAAAACAGGCATACACATGCTATTCGCATCTCTTGCCTTCTTACTCCTTCTTGCTATGTATCCAACCTTCTCAAATGTGTTTATTGGAAACAGTAGATAACAACGGATCTTTTAGATATTTTCAAAACGTTTATGGAAGTCTAATGATGGCTTTTATTCTGAATAATTTAGACTGAAACTGATTATTTTGGGAATTTAAAGAAAACACAATTATTTGTACTGGACAAATAGTACTTGACGCGGCTTGTACTCACGTAATTCAACTGTAGTTTTAATTTCTTGATGGCAATCAAAAAAAGCAAATCTTTCAAAGTGTATGGAACTTTGTGCAACAGTACTAAGGCGCGATTTTTGAAAATACAGAGATTATCACGCTTTCTGAGCTTCTGTTAAGAAACCAAAAAATCGTCCTGACTACTTCAGTTATGATATTTGTCATAATAAATTTTGTCGAAGTTTCT